ATTCTTTCCCAACACAGCGCGGCCAACTGACGGCCCCATTGTAACACCACTTGCAGATGCATCGGTGGTCAGCGTGGTAATATTCCCCTCTTAACGGTGCAAGAGGAAGAACGATACACATGAACATGACTGGCTGATTTGTCTCTAGAAAGAGCCATTGACCACCGTTGCTGTCTGTATCAACTTCGTTTCGCGGCATTCATGCGAAGCAGACATGCTCCAGACCTTCACTGTTGGCGGCACGACTCTGCTTGAGTACAACGAGGTCAACACTGATGAAGGCATGACTGGGTATGTTGTTCTGTACTTTACTAGGATAACGGGGCCCAGTTGATTGTAGCATGCTGACGGTTGAAACTAGAACCATTCATGGCGGCTGTACTATTCACGAAGCTGCCACCTGCAGCGTATCCTTCTCTACGGCGATAGCGAGCTTCAGCACTAACATGGTAGAAACTACCACCTATCCAGCATCAGAAGTCACTTACGTTCCCGTCACCATCACCGCTGGAGCTGAAAAGCTGCCAAAGGCCACCCAAACCAGCGGCACTGGTGGCCCAAGTGGTACTGGCAAGCCAAACAGCGGCCCTAAGGCAACTGGTATGCCTAACCTGGCTCTTCTTGGTGGTGCCGCTGTTTTCGGTGCGGCGTTGGCTTTGTAAGGGGATGGATGGGTTTTTGAAAATTGTCTCGGGCTAGACCTGTTATGTTGGTTGAAAAATGTCTAGTCATTCAGGGTATATATATGAAAGCTCCCACTGATAGGGAATGTCTATGGGATATCAACGGAATTCTGGATTTCAGCATGGAAAGACATAATAGCAGACATCGACTGGGTTGCCAGTTTAAAAATCTCCGCCAAGTTTGGGTATTCAAGTGCCTCTCCTGAAAGAGTTCCAGTTTGGTAACAGGCCACTCAAAAGACCGGCACATCATATTCACGACAGTGTATTCTACACTGGGCTACAGTCTCAAGTCTTGACGATTAATTCCACTGCCTCATTATCGCTCTGAGAATAACACCACACAGACCAACTGGAGGATATAAGCTTATTTTCACCCCAGATGCGGGCTCGGCTCGTCTTGTCGATCTTTTGAAGATCGCTATTTACGTCCAAAGATGGGAGACCTGACGATTTAGTATTGTGTATAGATAAGATGGCGAAGCCCTGTTTGCTATGCATTTGCTATTAAAACATTACGGGAATAAGAGGTATAGTATAATACAATTAAAGTATGTGCGTGAATGCGCAATTCCCTGTGTTCATGAAGTCATATATATATGGGACTAGCACCCTGCGCCGGTCAACCAGAAACGAAGTTGAAGTGAAGTAAAAAAGTCATAAATACCCATGATTCGTTGATAAACAGAAGCGTTCGTGCTTATAGTTTCGTCCCTTCCCAGCCACTGTCACTTGGGCGTCTGCCTCGCGGCTCTGGTCCGGCGGTGGAAGGCATCCGGGTCTGTCCAGAGGCCCCATCCATCCCTGCTCCATTGCTACTGCTACTGGGGCGAGCATTTATTGGCGTTCTCTGACTTTGATGTATCCGGGAATTCATGAGTAAGTGGACCTGCATTCTGACCGTGTTCAGCCCTGCTGTGAGATGAGCCATATCTTCCCTCACACGGAGGGTGTCATTCATCATTGATATATTTGTACGAGCCTCGAGGTCTGCAACTGTCGAGGTAAGTTGTAATACTTCTTCTCGCAGTGCCTCGTGGATGGATAGGAGGTAAGTTGTAGTGTTGTTATGGTAAGGAGCCGAGGAGTTGATCGTAGGCGAGGATGCAAGGGCATCCCTTGACGGAGAAACACTCCGATTCAGCTCAGGTACTGGAAGATTAGCATTTTCAGTCCCGGAGTTGGATGTTAATTGTACTCTTGATGGAGGTCGTGAATTTGTCTGTGAGATTGCAGACCGTAGGCTGGCGATGCTGTCTTCAAGGAAAGAATTCTGTTGTTTCAGCTGTCGGATGGTGGAATCCATGGTTTCGAGTCTTGCTGCTTGACTCTCGAGGTATGGGCCTAATCTGGCCAGTGGGCAGGACTCTTCATGGTCCTTGAGCTCGGTTTTCAGAAGTCGCGCCACACATCCATACTTCGAAGCCTTGCAAGGTACAGTAGCCTTTACACAGTTGTCTTTGTGTTCTTGCTGATTGACCTTATAGTAGACTTCCTCGCAATCAGGACATGTCATCTCTATTTGCGGACATAGATTTGTTGCATGTGCCTGTGAATGACTGTCAGCGTTGATGTTCCGGGTTATCGAATATTCTCTGAGTAATTGCAAGTACAAACCTCAAAATCGAGTTCCATCACGGACTCCCCACATTGTCCGCAGTCGACAAGTGTATGCAGGCACCGATCTTCTGGGCCTAAATCCTTCTTGCGGATTTTCTTTTCGCATTGCGCATCGGGACATGGCATCCATCGATACTCACAGTACTTATCTACGTGCACTTGCGCATGGCCGCGCTGGATGGTCTCAGTACAGCCTTCAGCATGGTACGGACACTTCACCAATATGTCATCACACATGGCGACCACAAGTCGCGGCACGGTTGTATACGTAGCATTTGTAGGCGTACGGCAGGTAGGACAAAGAAATTCGCTTGGCTGCGTGAACTGGTTCATATCGCTTGAGGATTTGATACAATCATCCAGACAAGACCGGCAAAAGATGTGATCGCATCGTAGCCGAGTGGGAGTGATGAACGGGCAATGGCAGACGAGACACATGAGATTTTTGTTGTATTCAGACACGGCTTCGAGAGCTCGCAGGTCTATAGAGTTGTCACTGGTGCTAGACGCCATTCTTGCAGTCCTGCGCAGTATGGCGCTCCGAAGCGCGAAGGGCTGTGTCTGGTATGCAAACCCGAGGGGCGGGCAGCGGGGGTGAGTCGTTGTTCGAGATACACAGGTAATTAAGAGTCGGCGGGAGCTCGAGCAGCTGAAGGGATCAGTCCCAAAGGAGCAGAAGTATATCCTCGCCTGCCATCAGAGCAAGGTAGGCTCAAGCAAAGCAGCGGAACTAGATTTCTGGCTCCGACAAGCAGCAAAACATCGACCAACCACCCGGAGCTCGTTTCAACTTGGTTGCTGTCGCTCACTTTGTTTTTTTGATATCAAAAGCGAAGAAAAAGCAAAAGCCGATGGAGGTTTCACGTGATAAAGCTTAGTCATAGACATGTGACTGTAAAATCACATGATCCGAATAACCGGGCCTGAATTATTTATCCGGTTTTTATTAGTCATCGCCAAGAATGTGAATGTTGAAGGCGAATAACACTTTCTTGTGGTCCGTGCACGAAGCTAATTACGACGTCCAAGGTCGCTCCTTTGTGGCTGTTTGAGATGTTTGTGAGACGCCAGGCATCAGCCAGAACGAACCCATCTCATAGACAGTCTTTGATAGAACAGAGCATGAGATCGAGAGTAGCGGTTACTCTGGTTTAATAGCCCACTGCTAGCTCTGCCTACTTCGCTTTTGCGGGACACCGGAGACCGTCGGGACAACAATAAACTGGGGGGTATATATAGGAAACTAAGGCTGATAATCGACCATGAGCAACCCATCTCAGCTTTTCCTTTTGGCAGACCATATAAAGCTCTCTCTGCTAGAGCGGCAAAGAGCAATCTCCCTTGACCTTGAACCCAACGCGCAGGATGGAGAGATATCCCGTTCGCTAGAGTCGTTGCGAGAGGGTCTGGAATCGGCTGAGAGGGAAGCCCAAAGGCTGGTCTCTGTTGGGGATGCGTAAGTTTTATCACTTCATTGAGACACAGTATATTTAGCTAATGTTACGATTGGTAGATCATCAAACGACTTCAAAGAGCAAACTAGCTCCCTACGAACCCAGTACGAGGACCTCTCACGTCAATTCCATGGCGACAATGCACCCTCCCTATCCACCCAACCAAACAATGAAGAGCTGGCCGAAGACTTCATTCGTGCAAGCAGCACTCCGTCTATCCTCAAACATCCTACACCGCAACACCCGGTCTCAAAATCTGTTCGTTTCACGGACACTTTAACCGCCAGTGCTGAAGAGCATGACCCCAACCGCGATGCCCTGCTTAGACCCTACTCTGACTCCCCACAGCCTAGCTTCGACCCTTCAGAAGCTACGAACCAGGAAATCCATGATTATCACAATCAGGTCATGCAGGAACAAGATGAGCACTTGGACCGTCTGGGCGAGTCAATTGGACGCCAGCACCAGCTGAGTATCCAGATTGGAGATGAGCTGGAAGGCCAAGTTGCCCTTCTGGATGACATGGACGGCCACGTTGAAAGACACCAGGGCCGGCTGGATGGGGCGCGAAGAAGCCTTGGGAGATTTAGAGAAAAGTCAAAGGGGAGCAAGGGCATGATGACCATCATTGGACTGATCATCGTACTAGTGATTTTGATCGTGATTCTCAAGTGATCAAGTCATTGTCTCTTCCCCCATTTTGTGTCTCATTCCCCTCTGCTCTTTATTTTTTATGACGATTTTCATGACCTTACAAGGATAGCAGTTTTGCTACCTTGTTTACTTTCCTTGCTTTAATCTCGTTACCACATAACTCGGAGTGTATCACATATATCCCTACGGCCCTAGCTGGTCATTTGTTTTGTTTCCTATTTTCAAGGGCGTTATTTTTGGAAGGGATAGCTGGCGTTACTACATCGTATATATCGCTTTCCTTTGTCTACTGCGATTATCGGTCAATGCTCCTGAATATATATTTGAACAACCCAGATTAGTTCCATTTGATGTTTATCTCGCAGCTGAGAATAAAACGTCTGTCTATTACCAGTCATGTTGGACACCCCAAAAACAGAATTGCATATCTATACTGTTGGTCCTGAGCGATGCAGCTTCTTTGGGTTACTTGAGCTGTTATTCTAAGCTTGTGGGAAGTTTTATGGCCGGTAACAGACGAAAACATTGCTATTATATTTTTTGGGCATAAATACCATAAACTAGTCTTAAGCATGGCTTCACACTTCAACTATTTGTAGGCCTCCATTCTATGCATCGATGAAACAGCTTTTGGCTGGACAATCGCTCGTAGTGGAAACGGCACAATGGCAAGAAGAATAAAAGCGAGCAATGAGTTTGCCCAGCCGTATCCGAGAGATTTATACATGTATGGCGCAGCAACGGGTAGGAACGTTCCCATGAGGTATCGCATCGGCAGGACAGCTGCAACTGCTGAGGCAGATCTATCTCCAAAGATATCGACAAGATAGTTCATGATTGGAGTCGTGCTGGAAGCCAGGGAGAACCCACACAGGCTGGTAGCGAGGGTTGGAACGATCCAGTGTACGTGGTGCTGCGACGTCCAGCCGTAGATGAACAGGCCTACTAGAAACAGGGCCATGCCAGGGATGGTGGGTATCAGGCGATTTTCCGGCAGAGGCTGGTCATCTGTTCCAATGGTGGCTGGTTTGCGAGTCGATAAACCCCTATATAGGAAATAATCAAGGGTGAAGCGACAGTAAATGGCTCCAGTAAGTGTTCCGAGGGCTGAGATGTTTAGTTAGTTTATTTGTCCCCACGTTTTGGAAGCGTAAGTGGTTAAGGGTCAAGTTCTTACTCAAGGATATATAGATGAGGCCAGAGTGACTTTCAGAAAACCCATAGGCATCTTGGAATGTGGTAGCCAAGGTCGCCGCGAGGAGAGAAAGATAGGCGTAGTGGATCGACAGGTAGCAGGCCATGATTATCGCGACATTAGAGCTAAACAGGATAGTAAATGGCCGAACTGCTAGCAAACATAGTCCCTTGATGGTAGACCACTTCCATCCCTTAAAGTATTTCGACCCGGAACTGATCTTCTCGTTGTGTTCTTCCCGCCGTAACACAGGCAAATAGGTTTCTCTCATCACGCAGAGACTGACAAGCAGTAAAATACCGGTCATCATAGCGCTTAACCAGAACGTCCATCGCCAGTTCAGGCCCTGTGTTATATACCCTCCTGCTATAGGCCCGACAGCACTGCCAAGTATGGGTATCAAGCTCATGACAGACATGGCAGCGCCACGGTTCTTGACGGGATATAAATCGCCTATGATGCTTGGGTTCAGACAGATGGACAAAGTAGATGCCCCAGCCAGGAATCGAAAAGCAACGATCATGTTGATGTTGGAACTGAAACCCGTAACTAGACGACCAAACTTTTCTGACAGCGGCCCAATATACAAGGGGGCAATGGCTTCACCGAGGTTCGGGGCTGTCAGGTAGAAGACTAGAAGGAAATTATTGTTGGTGTTGAGGTCATGAGCAATTGCAAGAGTTGCTGGCGCACAGATGACCAGGGACATGTTACTAGACATCGTTTGTCAGTATGTCAATTATCGATACAGTTGTTAGCGGATGCATACACCACAAGGGAAAGACATGATATTGTACAAGCAACCGCGCTAAGCCAGGAGTCAATATAAGGCGTGGATGGTTGAGGTTCAAGGCTTGTTCAGATCTAGTTATCTGTCGCCGTAATGAAGTAATAATATCATTGTATATGCAGCCCTTGATGCCGACCTGGTAGATGTCAAGGCCTGCCAATCCGCGTCCACTGCGGTTCTGGGAGAACCAGGCCGGACAGCATTGCCGCTGTGCAAAGCCAGTACGCCGAGATGGTCTCGCATGAAACGGTAGGCCTGTCTGATATTGTGCATAATTGCACCAGCTGGCCCCAGAGCACCACCGGCTTTGGCTGCTGGACTCAGTATCAGGACGTGGATGAAAGAGTCACCTTGGAGCTTAGAGGAGCCATTGGGGTATCAGGGTATGCAGAAACATGGCATTTGCCTGTTGCTATCGCTTTTCTGGAGATTTTTGGTGATTGCTGGTCCGGGGTATAAACGGAGCATCGTAGAGGCGCTTCTGGCTGCGGTTTGCTTGGAGCTGGAGTCTTAGCTGTTAGTTAACTAATAACATCCATGGATCCTAGTTAACTAACTAGTTATTGGGCGTGGAGGCCTTGACGTGCGATTCATGTAACTAAAGACAGTTAGATTCCTTCAGCTAGTTAGTTAACAACAAAGTGATCTGCAATGTTGGATTTCTTCCGTCTACAACTTGACGGTTGTTTCTAATAAAACTATCTGGTTAGTTATCATCTTATCTCTAGATTCCCGCCGTCCATGATGTCGTACGCCGTCTATCGTGTCGCCTCCGCCGGCCTACCACGCGACCACCACGCCATCTTCGTCGAGACCAGCGAGAACAGCGAAAAGACCGGCCATTTATTCCAGGTTACGGGGAATATATAGAACGGCATGTCCTTCGAGCAGAGACCTGAAGACCAGCCGGAGGCCTCGAGCTCGTTCGTCGGCAAGCAGGAGATCGGGACTGTTACGCACGCGAACTACCATCGGATTCAGGGGATATGCGAAGGCATTCCTCCACGGAAGCAGTTCGACGGTGCAAAGAGGCTTTATCCCAAGGAGCCCATCAGGCGATGTCAGGAGTGGACTGCTGAAGCCATACAAGCCTTGAAAGATGCTCAGGTGTTGGTGTGATGGAGCTGGATACCATACTATCCTCTGCAGATATAACGACCACTCGGTCCAGAAATATATCTACGGTGTACAATTTTGAATCTATCGTGTGCCAATTACGCCCAGGGAGACGGCAAAGTGAGCTCATTGACGCCGTGCTTTACTATTATCATGCAGTCGGGAAGTTTCTCTCGCACCGCTTCAGCATCACCATCTCAATAACCATACCAGGTCCAAAAGATGCGGCCACAACATGGCCCCGGTTCTTCTCATACGTCCGCAACCGATCAAGGACTGATAATATGGTTGGACTCGATGAATTTCCTCGGGTTTTATATATTTCTCGGCTCGCTCGAAGCTGGTCCTCCGTCAACTGCATTGTCTCCTGGACACCGTCAATCAGAGCTTTCCCGCCAGGATGCACCGCCCAATCGAAATCGTCTATGCTCAGATGCTTATCAACTGCAGATACTTGCTCTTCATACAATGGCAGCAGCTTATGGAACATCGGTCCAATCGCTCCCTTTGCATACATTGGAATATCTTTGCTCAAAACACTCCGAAAGCCTAGGAACGGTCAATATTTCCTCTACCACCGAGACATATCAGCGAGAGCATACATATACTTACCATATGGATCCGTATAGCATGTGAGGTTCTGCATAGTGTGCGGTATTAGAGCATTGTCCCATTCAATAAGTTCGAAAATCGGACTCGCATTAACTTCCTCCAATGCAGTCTTGTTGCACAGGATAAACGCTGCCGCTGCGTCCGAGAACAATGCCCCTGCTATGTTGACTTTACTGAGATCCGTACATTGTTCTGCCTCTGCCAGGTCATGCCGAACGTTAGGCGTGCAAAGCTCGCAGGCATACGCTAATATGCAAGCTGGTTTTCCGCGCATGGTTGCTCCGCAGGCAACCTGAGAAGCGACTCTCATAATAGACAATCCGCCAGCACATCCTACTCCATGGAGTAATATACGGCTTGTCCTCTCCGGCAGACCAAGCCTTTCATTCACAAGGAGGTCATACCCAGGATTCCCTTGGTTGGTACACGTTACACTGACAGTGTGTGTTATCTGCTCTGGAAGGACGCCCGCTTCCTTCATTGCTTTCATGCACGCTTGCACCGCGAGATCGACTCCATCCCGACGAAATAGCTCGTCAAGGTCAGCGATCGATGGCGGAACGGGGCCGCAGGCAAATCCAGTTTCATAAGATCGAATTGATGAGCGAGTTTCAATTCCTGTCGAGGCGTTGATTTGAAGCAGCTTTTGGAGACTATATGGTGATATCTCAAGAGTTAGCCATTGTTACTTTTTACGCTTTCGTGGAATGCTGCCTCGTCCTGCTTAATACCTTACCCAGGGCGCCGGATATCGTAAAACCGTCCGGCAAAGCAAGTTAGTTTTTCATGGTCGAGAAGATACGGCGGGTATTGCGACCCTAGACCAACTATGAACAGGCCTGGAGCCACAAGAGGACTGTTGGCGCATATAGAGGCAGGCATCATCCCAGATCAACGGCCTGCATGTTTTTTTTCGAAGTCGGGCTGAGTTGGGAATAAAATGAATACGAGAGGATTAAACCCCATCCCACAAACTCTGCAGCAAAATGCGCCTGGTCTAAGAAGCTATCTTCCCTCAGCCTCATGACGAAATCCCTGGCCTCATGCCTCTCACCCGCAAGCCACTTGAGTGTCGCGCATCTGCAGTTATTTTCGAAACGACTGATTGCCAATCATCTATGAAAGAGCACACTTATGGACATTCCATTCATATATATTGTCAACAGGAATCCTTTTGAAGCAGAGGCGGTCTATCGGTATACAGAGGCGCTCGCCTATCGTACTGTCTCTTTGAGACATGTTACTATTCTTTTCATCAAGGATTATAGACCGGGTTATTATGGAGAATGCTAGCTTCTTGAATTAGCGAGGTTCGCCCCTGGGAATCGAATACTCACTTATCACTTAAAAAGGGGATGAAGCACAACTCTCGAGATATCCTTAATGATGATAGTTGGTAGTATACGGTCGCATATACCACATCATATCGCCTGTTCGGTTTATGATAGAACGCAGCAGAGTCTCAAGAGCTCTTTCTCCAGGCCCAAGACAGAAAAATCACAGAGAAGTGCCAATAAAGAAAAATTTATGATTGTCCTATCCTGCTAGTTTCCGGAAGGTTCCTCTACAAGTATATAAAAACGCGTTAGGCATCAAGAATGAGAATTTTTCATCAACACCACTTGCTAGCATTGCACATTCATTCGAGGCTCATTGCTGCTCAACAAAAACGAACATTGACGCCGCTACAAAATTGCTTGAGAAGGCTCTAAAGACCTGCCAACGGCCCTTCCACAACGCCGAGGGCCTGCGTGCTCTTGTTGAACAGTCCATACGCTCAATGAAGACTGAATGGTAGGAAGAAGTCACCGCAGCTGAGAAAGAAGCAGTTAAGGCAGCAATGCTCAGCAGTCCCAAAGGGATTGCAACTCATTCGGGCCATTGGTACAACTGTTCAAACGGACACCCTGTAAGTTCATCTTGACCACACATACCAGTAACCTAAGATTTTACTTTGCTAACCAGTCATTTAGTTTGCAATCGGAGAGTGCGGAATGCCAATGGAGCTCGCTTGTTGTTCTGAGTGTGGTGCATCTATCGGTGGACGTAGCCACACTGCTGTCCAGGGGGTCATTCGCGCAACTGAGATGGAGGGTTGAACAGGCACAATGCAGTAACGTAGGATTACCAGCCACCGGCATAGCTTGTGCTCAGGTTGAAGACTGTGGAAGAGACTTAGATATGCTACTGCTCTTCACCCCTTTTTTTATGGATAGTTCCTTTCAACAATGAAAAAATGAAGACTTTTATAACTAACTACGAACCACTACCTATGCATACATCGTTAATTATCATTCTGGGCGTCTCGTTAATGGAGTTAATAGCGACCACGGCTGCTCAGAGAGGCCATTTGGTGGCTACTGGCTCCAGGTCCAGTTTGCAAAGGCTTTTGGTCTCCTGGGGTAATAAGTGTCGGAGTTTGGTAGTCCACAGCCACAGTTGATAAAGAAGGCTACCTTACTATTGAGAGCAGACAGCCGGAACACGATGGACTCTATACCCAAGCACATAGCGACTCAATAAGTTATGTCACAAATATGGCGTATTGAATGTTATCATCAGTCGTTCAAGATGGCCAAACACAGCTGGTACATGAAACGACGCGCCGGTGACTGCGCCCTGGCAGCTTCGAGCAGCTCCAGCTGGCCGATGGGCCGATCAAGCAGTCAGTTTGCGCTTGTTGATACCCCCGTGCAAGCAGCATTTGATAGACCCGGCTAGTTACAGGCAGCTTTAGAAGACTCGGGGGCTAGTTACTACGGAGGAAGACCAGTCGACAGCGCGGAAGGCGCGGTTGGTGGCTGCAAAGCAATGATATCCAAAACATCCGCCCTTCTTGCATCTGAAATGATTTGGACGCCAGCTACAAGACTCTCAGCTACACCGACCAGCAGCTGATCCATCAGTCAGTTTGAGTCTGCAATGGTCCCTCGGCTGCAATCCATGGGGGCGTCTTCCTCTGACGCGGAGACGCCCATGAAAGTCCTTTCGAAGCTGCCTTTGGAGATATGGGGATTGATCATGAGCCAAGTGAGTCCTACCGACTAGATATACAACGACATTTTTATCTATTCTGGCTTGTGAGTAACCGATGGCTAACCAACGGGCAAAGATACGGCACCAAAAGGACCTACGAAACCTCTGTCTGGCCTGCAAGTTCCTCAATAACCTCGCTCTTCCAGCCCTATACGACCATGTAACCGTCAAGCATCCTAAGCTCACTACGTATTACGGACTAAGCGGTACATTACCAGCCCTGATTGAACAGCTACCACTGCAACACTTAAAGCATACAAGACATCTCTCCTTCACCCGTCAAGAGTTACTCCTGTTGCCTCCGTCTCCAATGAGTGACAGGGGTGACAGTAGAGACACCATCACATCACAGGAGTTCAGGAGGCGGATTATGAAGGCCATCATTACCCTAGTTCTAGCCATTCCTCGGGACGGCCTACGCTCCTTCAGGTATTGTCTTCTCTCCCACTCTACTATACTAGTCATCTCCTGGTCTGCTAAATTCAATTCTGTCTAGCTGGGAATTGGGGCCGTGTCTTCCCGGTGAAATATTTAGCAGTGAGCGAGGATTGCTCGCCAACCAACGGCAGATCAAGAGTATCAATTTAGTTGCTTGCGTGATGTATGAGGAGACACTTGGCTTTCCGATGGATATCTCCCACCTCCGCAATCTCCGTTCTTTGAGATATACATCGCTGTGGCATCTGAGAGATCTCAAACTGGTACAGAGGCTTTTCCAGTTGCGCCACCAACTCACTACATTGGAGTTACAAATAGGCCCGGAGGATCTAAAAATTGACATTTTGAACTTCGGCACTCCTGATATCAAGATTTTGCTCTTGGGTAGCCAGGAAGTGAGAGAGACTCAAGCTTTACTCAACCTTGAAACACTATCACTGGGGATATCTCTCAATCAGATGGAGGCAGATATTGTATCTGCACTGAATTTTGACTGCCTACGCTGCTTGAAGCTACACAATTGCAATGGAACATCTACTTTCCTTGATGCTCTAAGCAATTCTACCAAACCTTTAAGATTGGTGTCGTTTCAACTCAAGTTTGTTCCACCTAGCCTTGATCCTAGAAGCCCTGAAATTCTGTCTGCTGCTCTTGCAAGTTTCCTTATGGCATTTCAAACACTCGAAGATCTCTACCTTTCGATACCACGTATTTCCCTCGAAGCCATTGAATACCGAACTATACAGAACCACTATCCAGCGCTTCGACGCCTGCTCCTTCATGGCACCATTCGGCTAGAAGACCCTTCATCGTATCCCGTGGAAATTTCAGATAACCTCTTTTATCCCTTACTGATGGGCTCTCCGGTAGAGTGCATCTCGCTGAGAATGCAGCTTAGAATACCAGTGAGTGTAAAGCCCAGGATTTAATGCATCTTACTTCCATAGTGCTTTTTTTACTAACCACTGTCTGTCCGCAATTAGATTGAGAAATGGCAGAGGCTGTCTCCAAGACCGTCGTGCAGGTTGTTACAAATTCGACGGGCAGGATTTCGTGAGAATATAACGGACGATAATTCGGGAGGCGTAGGTCAATTATTTTATGGAGAAGGGGTGTGCTTGGACGGTAAGACTATGTACCCCTGAACAGTACCAATATACTACAATTATCTATACTAACCTTCCTAAATAGATGACGATATACCTACCGTGGAGGATTTAAGGAAGTCGGGCAAGGCTTCAATCTTATCTCTGCTTGAGTTTGCAGAATGGGCATTCAGCGACGATGGACTGCCTAAGCTCCAGGTTCTCGTATGGGGACCGCTCACTGGCGATACAGTCTTTAAGAATTCACAGATGTATTTCTGCAGAAGTGAAGACACATTCAAGTCACTGACTCGAGCAGATCACTATGCTTGGGATATTGTGCAGGAAAATACGGATATGTTGAACTTTACATACCCAGTTATATAAGGAACCCAAGCCAGAAAACCCTGAACTGATAGCAGGGTTGAATGTCGGCACAAAGCCTTTCGATGCAATTTGCCCAGCCATTGCTATCCTAAAGTAGAGACGGGGAGCATGCACGCATTATTCCGCCTGGACATGATATATACATTTTTACACATATTACTTATCCCCAGCCCGAAAACAGGGAATGCACCCTATCCTGCCTAACTTTTGTCCCGTATAACCACTCACTTAGAAGCCCCCTTAGTCTCCTTATTGATAGTCCTCGCCTTGCGCACTTCCTTTTCCATCTGTTCCGTCTCCACGCTGTCTACCTCTCCTCTATCGGCTTTGACCTAAGTAATTACTGTTAGTTGATCCCATTATAGCCCGCAGGAGGAGCTAGGTGTAAAACGTACATCTGCCTCACTGCTGCTGGCAAGGCTATTATTCCACTTCCCATGGCCCTCCTTGTGTTTGGACAAGTGTTCATGCTTCTCCCTCTCGACTTCGGAAGATACTTCCTGTGTATCTCGGTCTGTTTGGATAGCCAGCTAGTTAGTTACTGAACTAGTTTTATTTGCAGACGGATACGTGCATAGGGCTGGGTGGACGTACGTCTGTCTTCCTCCTTCAGGGCTCTGTAGGACGGAGACGAGTGGAATAGATATGCCTGGGTAAAGGCAGGTCTAGTGAGAGAACAGAGCTGGAATCTGCTGCCTCTGAGCATGGAGGAGCGAATGGTGGATGTGATGGGTGCCATTGTAGTAGTTGTGATAGTGGCAGTGTATAGTAGTAGTGTATAGTAGTGTATAGTAACGGGGTGAGTTGTTTGTCTCGAGATGTAGCAGAGATATAAGAGCAAAACGGCCAACGCAAGAATGTATGACGAATTCTACCACCTTCTTCCAATCGGCCCGTTTGTGTAAGTCAGCAGCAGCAAGGACCCGGTCAATTAATGGAGTCGATAAGTTCCTGGTTTTCTTGATACACGCGAGAGGCTGCTGGGTTGGAGAGATGTTCTGCGCATCCGAGGTGTGACGTCATAGGCCTCTGGGGCTGAGATCTTGGTACACCTACACAAAGTGTGGAAGAAGATAAAAGACGAAGTAGAATGTTCATTGTATTATTTATTCAGCGCCCTAACAGGCAGGCGGTCTTATTTTTTCTTTTCTGTCCTTTTCCTTTGCATGTCCACTTTTCCGTCGAGTCCTTTTTGGATGGAGACCGGAGGATATTAATGAAGAATGTTCAACGAGACAAGAGAAGAGAAAGCGGGTAGAGGAGAATTAAGGAGAAAAAAGGAAGAGAGAGAAAAAAAGAGAGACAGAGAAATAAATAATAGTAGATGGGAAGACAAAAAATGTGGCAGGCAGAATACACTTCTGTTGAAAAAAGAGAAGAAACCAAGAAGGGAGGAGACGAGTATATATGATATGGGTAGAAAAAGGATGCAACCAACCGACCAACCAGCCAGCCAACAACGACAACAACAACACCCGAGTACAGCAACAGACACACCATCCATCCATCCGACCGACCGACCGACCGTCCATCCGGGGGGTAGTTTTTTATAATGTAATATGTATGTAGGGGAGGGAGATGAGTTCAACAATGAGGAACCGACAAAAGGCAACAACACGACGACGCAGCCGGCGTTCTATCATCAGGTAAACGACAACCAAACCAACGACGAGTATCCGGTATCCAGTATCCAGTAAGTGGGCAAGTAAGTAATCCAAGAGATAATGGTATAAACAGCAAATATTTTTGAGTTCGAAAAGGGGGGGGAATTCGAAAAAGGTCTTTTTTTGAGAAGTGAAGTCGAGAAGTGAAGAAGTGAAAACAAGGGCATGAAAACACCGACCATTCCTCCAGTTCCGCCAGTCCGCTCCGTATATGTATTGTATGTAGTATAAGTATAGTGTTGGCATATCGTTAAGAAAAGCGATGATTTGCAGTATAAAAAAAATAGAGGTCGAGGAAAAAGATACACGCCGTCGCTCAGCCCGTCGAGAGAGATGAAGAATAGGATAAGGAAAATGGTAGCAGAAAACGAGGTCTTCGTCGATTACCGAAAAAAATCCGTATAGATGGTATAGTGTTGTTGATGCAAGGAAAATAAACTGGAATTAGCGAGCGAGAGACGATTCGTCATGGCGTGAAGGAAAAAAAGAACGTATGAGAGAGTGGTGGAGGTCAATCTACCACTCCCGTCTGGTAGGACTGGAGACTCGCATGCCGGTGCTCGGGTTGACAATGGGGATGGCATTCCGTGTCCTGACGGCGGCGGGCTGATGGATCTTGCCCATCATGCCCGACATGGCCATGTGCCCGCCCATGCCGTTGATGTGGTGTTGCTGCATGGGGTGAATCTGGTGCTGCGAGGGAGACGAGTCCGGCGAGGCACTGCCCAGCGAGCTACGGTCCGAGGCAGCCAGGGAGTGGATGGACTGCAGGTCGTCCTCGGTCAGCAAGTTGGGGCAGAACTCGAGGTCGTCGTCGAGGTCAAAGGAGCGTCCGGCCTCGAAACGGGCCCGGAAGGCGGTGATGGCAGGAGCCTCGACGAGATCCCGCATCGACTTGACGCCGCGGAACTGGCGGGAGCTCGAGGACGAGGCAGAGGCAGTGGATGGAGCGGGAGCTGTCGAGGGGGTGGTGAGCGAGCTGAGGGTCGAGGTGGCGCCGGCGTTGGACGGGGTGAGCCGTTGTCGACGACGGTGGTGATGCTGGTGTTGGTGCTGGTGCTGATGTTGATGTTGATGCTGATGCTGATGCTGGTGCTGGTGATGCTGGTGGTGAGACATGGTGGCTGCTGTCGCTGCTGGCAGGTGTGTTGGCGGCGCCGGGTGTTGCTGGTGGTGGTGGTGTTGTTGTTGGTGTTGTGGGCTGTGGTGGGCGAAGAATAGCGCAGACATAGGGATGACTCGACACAGATCGACTGGAGAGATGAAAATAAACGAGTAAGAAGGGTAAGAAGAGTAAGAAGAGGCAAAGAAGATGCAAAGAAGAGGCAAAGAAGATCAGAATATCGAGAGTATCAAGAGTATCACGAAGATCGAGATGGAAAAAGTGACGAAGTTGCGAAAGTCGAAGAAAGTCGAGAAAGTCGAAAGAGGGAAGCGAAGGCGGTGAAAGCGGGCGAACGAGCGAAAAGCGAAAGAAAAAAAGCAAGAAGTGGATTCTGCCGCTAGGCCTGAACCAGAAATGCCGATCGATGCAGCGCTATGGAGCGTGACTTCGGCCGCCATACAAATTACTATGGTAACAGAAGTCCCTTTGCATGGCAGCGCATACCCTTGCATCATCGTCCGCCTGACCAGCCCAGCGACCCAGCGGACCCAGGGGGTACTTCGGCTCTCCTACGCTCTTACATACAGACAGAAGTATCTCCGGATTTTAGCGCCGAGTTTCATCCATTAATAGCACTGCAGCAGTGACAGCGACGAGACGCAGGCTGCAGGTCGAAACATGTACATGCAGAGGCCCAACGCCAGCGCCAGCCTGCTCCTCCTGCTCCTCCTCTCGTCTTCGTCTTCGTCCCTCGTCTTCGTCCGCTGTCTGGCTGGCGTCTGCAGCTGCTACTTGTCGAGAAACCTCCCCCGCACGTAGCGGCCTATCGCCTCCCGCAGGCCCTTCTCCCCGTAGCCCTCCCACACCTCATACAGCGCCACCATCTCCTGCGTGCATTCCACCACGGCCTCGATCGACACCTCGCTGCCCGCCAGCCACTCGACGACCTTCTGCACCCGGCCCCCGTCGCCCATCCCTTCTCGTATGCCCGCCGCCATCCCGGCAGAACTTGTCGTGCCTGTTCCTGGACCGGTGCCAGTGCCGGTGCCGGTGCTGGCGCTGCTGCTGGCGAGGGTGCCTGGGCCTACTGCCCCTGTGCTGATAATGCTGCTAGTGATGCTGCTGCTGGTGGTGCTCGTTCCCGGCTTAAACACCACAGCCACAAACACCGCCATCACCGCAATGACGTGCGGTGGCTGGAGCAGCGGCAGGTCCGTCAGGTAGCTGTCGTTCACCACCGACCAGGCCAGCGCGATCTCGTCGGAGCTCAGCGTCAGCCCCGAGCTCGCCGTGTTGGTCATTGTCGACGAGAAGTCCGAGAGCGTCCGGTACGGGTGGTGCACGATCAGCTGCGAGTTGAGCTCGCTGATGAGCCAGAACTCGCACTCGCCGACCTTTGCACTGTCGCTCAGTATGAATTCTACCGTATAACTAGTTATTAGATACACTCTGTGGTACTCCGTAAACATAAATAGATGTAGATATAACCTACCCGGCCATAGTCCTCTAGCCTCCGAGACGACATACTTGATATGCTGCGGACACTCCTCCGTCTTGCAGGCAAGGTAGAATGCCGTCGTCAGCAGCAGATAGGGGTTCGTCCGCCGGATGCTGACCTTCGTCAGGAAGCGTTTCACATATACTTGGGCTGTTGCTAGAGCCTGCTGCCGGGTGTTCATCCGCTTCCCCAGCTTGATCAGCTCTGCTCCCGTCAGCACACACTGCCCTAACTACTACTCGAGCTCATCAGACAGACGTACGCTGGTTTATGTAGATGTTGACCAGCCGGTGGTCGGGCAGCGGATACTGCGCAATGAAGGCCCGGTCTGCCTCGTCCAGCGCTGCCCGCGTCTCCGCCAGCTGCTCGCGGTCAAACAGCCAGAACCGCCGCTGCGTCGAGGTCCAGTAGTTGGCCGCCATGCATCCTCAGCTTCAGCCTCGCATTCATCTACTCTCTCTCTCTCTCTCTATCTTATTTCTTTCTTTATTTCTATTCTATCTCTATATTTTATGTCGTTTTCGTCCTTTTTGCGTTGTTGATAAAAAATGATTACTAAGCTTGGTAAATGACGTAAGCCTCCAGCCAATCAGAGGCCGCCAATACAAAAACAACCAAAAGGGCGACGAAGACAAGTCGAAAAAGCATCAGAAAAAGCACTTCAAGCAACGCCGACTTCACCGTCCGCATCTTCAAGCCAGACAAGCGAGCAGATGATACTGCTGGACACCGTCTGCCGGGGTAGAAGAACCGCCGACACTGCTATCCCACCGCCTCGCCGCGCCGTCTGATGTGCAGCCCACTCGAAAGGACTTACAACTGCGGCCCGCACCGCCGGCAAGAGCCTGGATGCGTCGACCTGCGAGCTCTCTCTTCGTAGCAGACTGAGGCCAGCCGCTCGTCTACTTGTTGCTGTCTGCTACTGTTGCACTCGCCGTTGCCATTGGTACGTCCGGTGCCGTCAGCTCGTCTGCAGTTTGTGTGCCGGTTGGGAGCGCAGGCTTGAAACCGGTGCCCTCTTACATAGTTGCTCCACCATTCCCTATCAACAATGCCCCAGGACGATAACGAGGGCACGCGAGAGCGAGATGAACGCATAGAACGTCTCTGGAGCTCGCTGGATACGCGTGGAGAAGGGCAGGTTGATTTCAAGGGGTTCAAAAAGGGGCTGAAGAAGATCGATCACCGTATGTTACTGTCTTCTGCTGCTGCTGCTGCTGCTGCTACTGTTACATCATATATTGATATTCCCTGATATAGCTCTAAAAAATGCCGACGACCTGCTATATGACATTCTCAAAGCAATAGACACAAGCCAGGATGGCCGAATCCAGTATTCCGGTGCGTTGACATCCTCTAGATCTAGTAGTAGAAATGCTGACCATGGCGTGGGGGAGGCCAGAATTCTACTCCTTCGTTAAACAGGCCGAAAATCAGCTATGGCGGCTCTTCCAAGCTATCGACCACGATAAAAACGGCCATCTCGACAAGCAGGAACTGAAAGATGCGTTCGTCAATGCTGGCTTGACCGTACCGAGCTCCAAACTAGATCAGTTCTTTGCCGATGTAGACACAAACAGAGACGGGGTCATCAGCTTCGACGAGTGGAGGTATGTCCTCCCTATACACCCTCATTTATCCACTGCCACCACCACGCTGCTAACACACCAGAAGAGACTTTCTCCTCTTTCTCCCCGACACCCATAACCTCCGTTCGGTTATATCGTACTACTCCGCAACCGGCACCCTCAATCCCGAAGGAGACGTGCACATTAACAAGACTCTGCAAGGATCAGGTAGTTATAGCTCCTCAACCCCCCAGTTTTCCTTCCATCCATTCCACCGCGAGTTCAGCCTCCATCACACCAATCCTCTCCAAGACATATTCCCTCCACCTTCACCACAACTCCCGCCTGATCCAGCCCAACACCCACACACACACACACACCGAGATCTTTTGTTTTGCGCCTCCTTATAACGACCACCATAAAATAGATCAGGGATTAGAAGTGGAACTAGAGTTCATCACCGTCCCTTCTCTCGTCAGATTATGGCTGTCGTACCGCTACCTAGAAGAAGTATTGACCGAAACCACCCCCCATGTAGGCTACTTCCTTGCCGGCGGGATGGCCGGCGTTGTCTCCCGAACCGCTACCGCGCCTTTTGATCGGTTGAAGGTCTACCTCATCGCTCAAACAAGTACGAACAGCGCGAAGAGTGCAGCCATCAACGCAGTCAAGGCCGGTGCGCCGGTTAAGGCCGTGGGGTGGTTGTCTTGGCCTATCGTCGAGGCCACAAAGGAGCTATGGCGTGCTGGAGGCATCAGGAGTCTTTTTGCCGGTGCGTTTCTCCCCATCTCTATACTCAGCGTAGAGCTGTATAGTCCCTAGTCCTGGCGGACAATTGACCATATTAATTCATAGGAAATGGTCTGAATGTCGTCAAGGTCATGCCCGAGTCAGCTATCAAGTTTGGTGCATACGAAGTGAGCTTTTCTGCACCACCTCCTGCATGCTTGCATGCACAACTTAGCTGACTTATTTCAGGCTTCAAAACGCTTTTTCGCCAGTCTTGAAGGCCATGGTGACACGAAGAATTTGCTACCCATCTCACAATTCCTATCCGGTGGCATTGGTGGCATGATTTCCCAGTATGGATCCCTGTGCCACAGCTATCCTCTAATCCCTGCACAAAAAAAAATGCCACTAACTAAGAATTCTAGATGCTGTGTCTACCCGCTTGATACCCTAAAATTGTAAGGCTGCCAATATCACCGCTTTCTTTTAGTTTCTTGTCCCTAACACCCACCCCCTTTAGCCGCATGCAATGTGAGACCGTCCAAGGTGGCCTGCATGGCAATCAACTTATATACTCCACTGCCTCTAAAATGTGGCAAACAAACGGCATATCAGGCTACTTCCGAGGTCTCCCCCTCGGCTTACTGGGGATGTTCCCATTCGCCGCCATCGACCTTATGACTTTCGAATATCTAAAATCAACCCTGGTATCACGCAGTGCGCGACTAGCTCACTGCCACGAATCTGACGTGCAGCTAAGCAACTTCTCAACTGGAGCCATCGGTGCATTCAGCGGTGCATTGAGCGCGTCCATTGTTTACCCACTTAACGTGCTGCGTACTCGGCTCCAGGCCCAGGGTACCGTGCTGCATAAGCCCACCTACACCGGCATTGTGGACGTGACTGTACGCACGGTGCGGAGCGAAGGCGTCTACGGTCTCTTCAGAGGACTTACGCCAAACCTGCTAAAAGTCGTCCCTTCTGTATCGATCAGCTATATTGTCTATGAAACCTCAAAGCGGTTGTTCGGCCTATCTTAAGGATCTCGGCATTCCACGTTTCACGACCCACGACACGTCCATCTATCTACCCACCTACCCACCCAACCTACTATACCCACACTCGGCCTCATTTCCATTCTCATCATGTCGGCCCGACCTGTAAGTTCACTTCACTTCATTTCGTTAGCATATATCCGGCGCGCTTTTCAAGGGCTATGTATGTTGTTTGGTTCCTGCTTTTACATGCCATTCTACCATCCTTGTGCTTGGGTACATGCTCCATTTAACCTGGATATTTCCCATTTTTCAACCTATGCAACTGGCTCACTAGCCGAGCCATTTCATTTGTGCCTATTTCCAATCTTGTATCATGACATCTTGTTTATTAAAAAAAAAAAAAAGATAAAGATAAGAGATATAAAGGGCACTCAGCCGTGCCGATTTGATATGACATGCCATTAGTTACATATATACTTCCCGAGGCTGTAAAGCCATCACCTCACCTCACTTCTTGACAGCATTAACCTCTTCATCCTTATGCATGATATCTGGCAATGGTCCAACAGGAGTAATGCCAAACGGATTAATCTGTCCATGACTCTTGGTATAATGCTTCTTGATATGTTCGAACTGTGTCGTCTCCCCAAACGCCGGGATGTCCCAGTACAAGTGCCTCAGCCAGCGATGAATAGCCGGATATCCAGACCTAATATCACGAATATTTGTCTTAAAGTGCTGCACATATACGGGGTCGAAGCGGATGATGGTCGTGAACAGCCTAATGTCTACCTCTGTGATATCTTTGCCGAAGTAATAGGGCGTAGAAGGGGAGTATGTCTTGGACAGGTGTTCTTCGATTCTGTCGAGGGATGAAAAGAGTGGCGTGATTGATTTCTCATACGCTTCCTGGGTGCTGTTTTCATCCCTCGTTAGTAACCACTTGCTCGATTAAAAATGGGTGAAGGTAGACATACGTTGCGAATCCACACTTGTACACGCCGTTGTTGACGGTGTCGTAAATCCATTCATTGGCAGCGTCAATGTCCTTCTCCAATGCCGCGGGAAGCAGGTCGACGCATTTATATTTGTCGTCCAACAGGCCGTCAAATTCATGATAGAACATGCGAATTATCTCCGAGCTCTATACCTGGCGTTAATAAGGGTGCCCGCACCTCGGAAAATAAAGATGGTCTCACCTCGTTGCTGACAATCTGTTTCGTCTTCTTGTCATATAGTGTCGGCACCGTGAAGCGGCCCTTGTACTCTGGGTCAACAGAGAAGTAAATCTCACGCAGATGAGAGTACCCATTCAATGGTTCGGCCGTCACATTTTCACCCGGCACATTCTCGTCAGAGGTAACGAATCGCCATCCCTTCTCTCCCATATGCCAATGGACAGCCGTGTAGGGGATGATATCTTCCAACCCTTTCAACTTCCTCGTGATAAGGGTTCTATGAGCTACAAACAGTCAGTACAAATGTATTATGCGAATTGAAACGATATGCCAACGTACCCCATGGGCAAGCGTAGGAGACGTAGAGATGATATCTGTCTTTCTCCGGCGGGAACTGAGCTCCGGGCTTGCTGGAGATCCAATTCCTAAACGCCGACTGTCCGCGCTTGAATTCTCCAGACTTGTCATTTGGATTCACCCAGGAAGTGATCTTTACGTCGTTTCCGGTCTGTCAAAGGTCAGCATCACCCTTCTCCCCAGTATCCTGCGTAGGGCTATAACTACTACGAACCGCCATGCTGCGAGTTGATATCGATAAGAACTTCTTGGCTGACGTCAGCGGGGTAGAGGGCGCTTTGAGCGTGTAGATCAGGTTGAAGCCGGTGGGACGAAGGGCAGAGATCATAGCATGAAGAGGAGATGAAGAAAGGGAGTGGGATTGAAGATATCAAGAGGGAGAAGCTTGATATCTTATATACTTGGTTGCTGCCAATTTACTTTTATCCAACTATTTAACACACTCTTGGACGAGGGGGAAAGGCCGGGAGTCTAGACGTGATGACAAATGCTCGAGTAATGCTTATTTTGCTCGCTTCGTCCGGATGTTTTAAGTTGTTTCGCTTACGGCTCCATGACTGAGCATGGCGGAAGCATTATACATCCAGCTGTTATATGTAGAGGCGTACAAGGTGCTTGCGGGATCGATATGGATAGAATATTCTATTACTCTGGCTACTATCCGGCCAGAGGTGACCTATCTACGGTTCATCCTTAGGTACATGGAGCAATAAAGCATGCAATAAAAGCATGTGCAAAAACGACACCTTTTTATCTGGGTTTCCCATTTTCATTCATTGTTTTTCTTATGGTCATTTGATTAGGGAGCTACTTGTCAAGCTTGAGCATGACATAGGGAGCTTCGACTTCCTCGCCATCGGGAGTCTCGGGGTGTATTTCAATAATCACGCTCTTCTGGTGGTCAGGGATCGGCTTGCGGCTGATCTCTGCAATCAGCTTGCTCATCCTGTTGAGCGAGACGTTAGTAAATCGTATCTTAAGTGCTTAATCAGGTCAACTATTGTTTTAAACTTACTTCATGGGTAGACGATCCTTGACCTTTGCAGGTGGGTAGAAACTGGCATATAGCAGGCTGACGCCAGAGCTGACCATAACAATCTCTAGACCCTGCTTCTTGAAGTGGTCCAGGAACTCCTGGAGAGTGACATCTTCAATCTCGAAGCGGTCCCACAGCTTGTCCAAGACAACTTCACCGTTTGGACCGTTGTACTTGGTCTTGGGACTGGCAATCGGCTCACTGAAGCCGAAGAAGGGAAGCGCAAGGTTGATGAAACCGTTCTTGTATCTCTCGATATCCTGGTTGTTGTCAATGACCTTGTAAAGCTCGAGGATCACCAATCCAGTCACCAGGGCAGTGGTGGTAGCAATAGCTGGAATAATCTTTCCAGCGATGAACTTGGTGTTGTGCCTGTCGGCAGGTTCAATCTCATAGTTTTCTGCACGCAGGTTGCTGGCAGCAGTGATGAAGTCGATATGGTGGTTTGTGTCGTCGTCCTTTTCAAACTCAACCGGCTCAAGTTTAAATCCGGCAAGGGTCTTGGGGTCGGGAAGAGAGCTGACGAGCTTGTTGATTTCTTCATTGTCATCAAACGAAGTTGGCTGTGCCTCCGGCTCTTCATTATCATCGGCCTGAATCTTAACACCAGATGAGGGAGTGAATTCTGGAATGATCATATCATCAGTCACCTTGCGGTAATGATCCTTATCAACACCAGGGTTCTTAATGTTGTAGTTGAAAGCATGAAGATTGGCGGCAGCAATGATATATGCAAGGTGGGTATCATTCTTGGAGTCAAACTTCAATGGGGTTGGCGCGCGCTTTGGTCCAGACCAGAAAGGAGCACCGCTAGCAGTGACCGAGTCTCGAGGGAAGTTAAATAGGAGCTGTTGAATGGCGTTGTTGTAGTACTTCTCGAACTGGTGTCTGGCCCAGACAATACAGTCATCGAAACTAAGTGGTTTCTCGGTAACCAGGAAATCGCGGAGGTTCTCCAAGGTCTGCTTCTCAGATCCACCCTGCTTCAAGGTACGCTCAATGTAGCCTGGCTGTGTAAGATATTGGTTTACAACCTCGGGAGGTCCAGCAAATAGAGACTCGAAGATATCTCTCGCCCAAGCGATAGTATGCTGAATCTGGTTGGGGAAACTTCTCAAGGTGCACATTGGGAAGGACTTCTCCGGTGGGTCGTGGGAGCTGGAGTATGACTCGGTGAGTCGTGGAATGATAACCTGAGTGTTTCCCTTGGTTCCGAGGGTACCGCTCTCAAGCAAGGGCTTTCGGAAGAACACACAGCGTCTGTCAACGTATGTACGGGCGTCAACATTGTCAAGGGCGTTAGTAACTCCGTCAAGCTTGGCCCAGAAGTCTTCGTTGAAAATATGCTCGGAGTCGGCGCCAACTCGTTCTTTCAAGGCGGTAATCTTTCCCTTGAGGTCAGGATTCATTGCCTGAACAGCGGCGGCAGCACAATCGCTCTTCAGCTTTCCGACATCAGTAGTACGGAAGAGGAATTGTCGGTTAAGGTTACTCTTTTCAATTTGGTCCATATCCGTGACGGTGATCTGACCCCCAGGACCCGTGCTGAGACCGATCATGGCCCAGTTCTTGAGCATCTCGCAACCGATTGCACCAGCTCCAACAAGGAACTCGTTGATGTTTGCCAGCTTATCTTGGAATTCCTGGCCGAAAACAGCGATTTGACCGTCGTATCTTGAGTTTCTTGGAGCACAAAGTTCCTCTGATCTCTTGATTGTGGTTGGAAGTGACTCCAGGGAGTCAAAGTACATCCACTGGACAATTGGGTTGAACTTGCCGGAGACAGCTTTCAAGACCTCCTGAGCGGCCAGTCCACCGAAGAAAGCAGCCATGGGGGACAGGTCTCCCCGAGCCTGGTAACTCAATTCACGAATAAGCTTCTCGTCAATCTCAACCTTCTCCTCGCCTTCGCCAGCAAACTTCTGGACAAGAGCAATGACCTCCTTTGCATCTCCTTCATGATGAGGTCGGGGAAGTTGATTCTTGTGAGTTTCGGCGAACAGGTGTAGCGCCTGGACACCAAGATGGATCTGTGCTGGTCGGTCGAATTTGGCAAAGTCAGAGATGACAAGTTCCGGCTTCTTAAGTTGTTCACTGAACGGTTGGAAGTCAATGAACTTAGGCATCTTGACCTGAGTATAACGGCCGCCACTTTGGTAAGTTCCGAGTCCGCTCACGTCTCCAATGGAGAAGGTAAATGGTCCCTTAACTGTAACCTTCCTAGGCTCGGAGTTATTGAGGGCTTCCATTCCACGAACTTCAGTGAAGGTGACATAATCTCCATCTTCAAATCCGTGTCTGGTATCATCAAGAGCAGAGACCAGCCCTTCCTCGTTGATTCCGGCAACAATTCCAGTCAATGGATTCTCGCCTGTAGCATCTCCGACTGTGAAGTTCTTGCCGAAGTCGGTGAAGATATAACCGAATAGGCCAAATGTATCGGCAATAACCACATATATCCCGTTCTCATGGCAGAATTCGGCAATTAGTTTTTGATCTTTGAGAGTTGTGCTGGTAAGAACCACGATCTGGAATCCCTTTAACTTCTCAAGGTCCTCAGTAAGGCTCTGTCCAGGGAGAACAGAAACTGGAGTATAAGCGTTGAGCTCTGCAACACGGGGAGCCGTAACTTCAGCTCGAGGTTTGCCAACATCCTCTGGCGTAAGGAAGAATTGCGAGGAGAGGTCAGAGATGGCGGCAGGTGCGGGGTCGAATAGGGTCAGTGATTTAACGCCAGCCAGGGCAATATTCTTAGCTATTATATTGGTTCCTAGTTAGTTATAGGCACTTAATGATCTGAATGTTGAGAATACACACCTATCTCAACACCGAGACCTCTTAGACCGACAATGAGAACGTTTGATGAACCCATCCGCTTCATTGCTTCGTGTCCGAGGACGTATCTAACAGTATGGTAAGTTTAATCCTTCTCAAAACCAGCAAAATAAATACCTACAGCTGTCTGCTATAGAGTGATTCATCGATCTCCCCATGTTTGACCTTCTCCACCAGCTCCGGGCTATCCACCTGCATCTTGGTGTCCTGTAGATTAAGTATAACGTGTTAGTTGGAAACTTGAAGGACGAGAAACGTAGCAGAAACTGAAGAAGCTGTAGAAGCAGCGGGATATGTAATATATGCCAGTATTCCAGTGATATGAAAACCCAGAGGGGAATAATAAGCATGAATAAGGGAGCTCACAGTCATGATTTTCTTGTCGTTTCGATCTACTTGGCTGTTGGAGGCCTTGCGTTTCCGAATTTCCAGGTCACTAGCGCGCGAGGAAATTGTGAAAGAGGAAGGTGAAAGCCTTGCTAGAGAGCAAGGCCTTCGATATGGCTTTAGAAGTGGAGGATGAAGGCCTTCACGGCGTCCCCTGCGGGTGTCTATAGAGATGCGGGGAGGTTGGAAGTAGTAGTTTGTAGCTGGTAAGCAGCTGGAATGTCAAGCTACCCGCTCGAGAAGAGGCTCTTTTATAAGGGAAAAGCAAATAACAGGGTAAAAAAACAGCTGTAATATCTCCTGCAGCGTCGAGCGAGCGTCTGTTGTCTTCCTGATATTCAGCGAGTTGATGTTTCTTTTCTGTTGTTTCTTCGACTTTCGCTGGGGCTTTTGATGACGATGCTGAGTCAGCAAGGCAGAAGTTGGTCAAGAAGCCAAAAGTCAAGGAACGAAAGTCGATATCAACTTTCGGAGAGAGAGACAAGGACGAGACGGCGGGATGGCTGGCTCATGGCGGTCTTTGTCATGGCCCTTAGGAAGGTGACTGGCTGTACTACATGACGTTTAGTGGTCAAGATTGCCCGGAAAGAACATGGCTAAAGGGGCCGTAGCTGAAGCTGTTCGATGGTCCTTGACATCCCTGTGCCATGGATATAGTTAACATATTCAAAATACTAACATCGATAGCTTGCTTTTTGTTGATAGGCTGCTTCATTTGCGTCTGGTATATACCATTCCAGCTGTAAGAAGCTGACCAGCGTTTACACCACGACACGAATGATATACCAGAATTGAGCCAGACTTGATTGATAATGAGGGATAGTTACTGACAGCCATGTCTTAACTACCGCACTCTCAGGGAAATTATATCATTTGCGACTGCAGCAGATGTCAGTCCAGTTCGATATCGGGAAGCCATGCGGCTCTCTGTTCTGGGCTTCCATATATTGATCCACGTTACCATGTACTCTGATGTGCATTTAGCTGACTCAAATATTCTTATCTCCCCGCTCTCCGTAACCATGCTAGCTGCGCAAAGTATCACAATTTATTCTACTATCGTGTTGTGCTTAATTGATGTAGCTGAACTATTTATATTTGCGGCTAAAAATAAGCTTTACGCGCTTTATTCTTATTATTGGACCAAAAAGCGACAACAAACGCCAAATACAAACAACAACATACAGCCTTCAACACCCTTCGAACATATCGCAAGAAATGCGAATATAAAATCCCCAGAATACTCCTGGATGTGTCGATTCGAGCTTCTGGGCTGCTGTATTTTGTTTTGGCACCGTTTGAAGTCGGCTTGGAGGGACGAGGTGCCTCCAAGGTACTATCGCCACATTAAATACCTATACTCCTCTACGCGATAAATAGTGATTTATCCCACTGCTAAATCCCATCACTCATCAGGTCTAAGGATTTCCCGGATGCAGAATGCTCCACGAGATCCTCCTCTCCCTGTCCGGTCAGCCGTCCCCTATCTTCGAGCAGTCAGCGAAGGACCGCGGAGCTCCCCAAGATGGTTTTCCACTCCTCTCGCCCCAAGAAAAGGCGCTGCTCGAGCCAATTGCGCGTCTAGGCCAACTTCATAGCCTCTTGAGAGCGCACGCGGAGCTTATATCTTCCTCTCACCCATCGACTGTCTGCCGTGCTGTCTCCACGACCATATCTACGGAGTATTTGGGCAATTTTCAGGAAAAGATACTGGAGGTGGAACAGGCGATACTTGGAAGAGATGCAGGTTATGTCGGCGGCTATGGGATAGTACCGCTCTCCACTATCGTAGGAGAGTTTTTTCCTTGGGTACGGAAGCTAGAGTGGCTTTGGGAGACATCGCAATTTATGCTCCCGTACGTGGACAAGAACGCGAAGTCCAAGGGAACACCTGTTGGAAAGGGATGTACGGGAGCTGCCCTCCTCGACTACCTTCGAACGGAGTCGCAGACTGGATACACGGATGTGGAGGAGATATCTCTCGGCCTTATCAGAGCTGCCGAAACAGCCTGGATGCGACAACTCTCCGTTTTCATACTATATGGACAACTTCCGTCTCTAGGACGAGAGGATTTCTTTATTCAAGAAAAGCTGTCAAATGGTGACCGGCGCACCAATACGGGAGACTTTATACTTCGACCTGAGCTCGTTCCCAAATTTGTGTCACGTCCGACAGCTACCTCCATCTTGTTTGTTGGACGGTCCCTAAGTCACATACGTGCTCGAGGAAAGTTTCCGGCCGGGGAGGAAGCGAAGCATTCATCTTCTCAAATGACACTTCACGGGGAATTTATCCGATGTCTCTCCTCGTTATCATCCCCAATATCAATGATCAACCTGGCTAACGCGGTCTCGGAAATACGACTTGCTCTTTCTCATACAGTTCTCTCGCAACTCCTGCCGCTACATAAAATAATGGAGGTCCTATCGTTATTGCACAACTTTCTCTTGCTTGGGAGGGGCGAGTTTGCCATGGCTCTGGTGTCTCATGCAGATGAAAGGATATCAACCAAACACAAACGAACCTACCAGGCTACCTCGATAGAAGAAACTATGGATGTCCTAACCCTCAAAGAAAGTGAAGTGGCTACGGTGCTTACCCAAACATGGACAGAATTATACTCAATTCCTAACGCCGAAGACCCAGTGGATGACGAGCTGGATTTGGCCCGATCTCTGTTGCGACTGTCAATAGAGAAGGACTCATCGATAAGCAAGAATATGAAGTCTGCGAACCAGGCCCTTTCATACATATCCGATGTTAACTTTTCTGATATTTTGCTCGGCTCACCAACAACCTTATCTCTCCATGTCAACCCACCCCTGGACCTCTTTCTTGCTCCATCGGATATGATTATCTATTCCAAGATCCATTCATATCTGCTAGGCATCCGTCGCGGACAGATGCGACTTGGTGACTTGTGGAAACGAACATCCCTTAGACGGGTTCATCCTTCGCCATGGGGCCCACCAATGAGCAACAAACCCGGCGGTCAGGCAAACCTCAAGGTGGGCAGAGAAAGACAGAAGAAACGGGCGGCTTTGATGCGTCGCGTTTGGGCTTCTGGAAGTGCAGCCTTGTTTGTCTTCTCAGAGCTCGGTAGTTACCTCCAGGGCGAGGTAATTAGCAGCTCCTGGCGTCATTTCAACGCCTGGCTAAATGGCGGCCGCCCTCAAAGTTCATACGGACAAGGCTCTCGGCCCGGAACAGCCTCTTCATCCAATGCATTTTATCATTCTCATGATCCCGAGACAATAAACATTGCACATCGCACCTATCTTACCCACCTAATTCAATCCCTTTTCCTGACGGATGTCCCATTTACCCGTACCCTACGGTCCCTTATCTCGCATGTCGACCGCTTTGTCTCCCTCCTTGGCCAACTGCAAACAATTCAGCAGAATTTGGACCTTGAGACAGACGAAGGTGTCTTTGACTCACTGCAAGACTACGCCCAAGATGAGACAAGAGTATGGGCTGAAGTATCGGCTGCACGTACCAATCTAGAAAGCTCCATGACAGAACTGATTGCTAGGTTACGTGATATAGATGATCACCGTACCACAAAAGGAGCTACCTCACTTGATATTAGCACCAGGCATTCACTCCCAGAACTTCGTTGGGTCAATGGAAACGAGGAGACAATGCGTGGCAGGCTTGATAATAATGTTTTTGTGCCGTGGAGAGCTGCGGGGGTAGATCGACTGCTTATGAGGCTTGAATTCGGCGGGGCTAGTGCCGAGGATCATGGCGCTGATACGCTCGATTTTGGTGGAAATACGGTATTTGCGGAATAGGGGCTCAGTGTCATGGCTATAGAATCGTTTATTTGGCGTCTTATAAAGGGGGAATGGAGGAAAGGTATTCCAGACGGCGGATTATAGTCTACGTGGTACGAATGAAACATGAATTTACTTGATAGCCATTTCTATTCATCCTCTTTCTACACACCGATAGAAGTAAGAATGAGGGCAAGTGTAGAACTGAGCTCATGCATGAACCGAAGAAAAGATAATCATAATCGTGATATTTGGGTATCTTAAACGCTTGATCTTTCAAGATAACTCGCAGTATATATATATAAGGAAAACGCAGAAATGGGAGGTTTATATAATGTATACGAATCGAGGTCGAGATGTCTTCTCTATACCAGCCGGCGACTTTGAAACACCAGGTCCCATAAGCATTTCAGTTGCTCCGTCCCGCTCTTCTGTACGGAGCATAGCATCCTCTTCGCAATCGAGGGCGGTTTCTCTTCTAACTGCTGATGCAATACCAGCTGCATCAGCTGAGGCCCGCCTGTTTTCCCGTTGAAGTAGGATTCTTAGGGAAAATGCAAGGATTGCAACTAGGAGCATGAATAAAGAGCACACCATCATGCCCTTGATATACCATGGTCCGTCGGTATCAGGGTACAGTCTCGTACCGATCAGGGGTCCGCACTGACCGACAACATTGAGGATAGCCATGCCGGTACCTTTACCTTCGCCTGCAGGTTTATTATCCATGGTCCAGGCTATGATGATAGTGATGGCGGAGAAGAAACCGGCTGCAGCGGGGTATAGACATACATATCTAATCAGGATATGGACTGAGGTTGGAAGATGGGAGTGGAAGTAACCTGTGAGGGCTATAGTGAGGTATGTAGCTGATGAGAT